GTACCCATGGGTTCGGGTTTTGTTGCCATCCCTAATTTGCAAGGAGACCACGGGGATTGGTTTATCTCAAAGCACATCAAATTTGTGGCCAACTCGAGTAAGACGATTATGCCAAGGTGAGTGTAAAGGGGGTAAATTCTACGCCTTACGGTATTTAAGTTTTTGAGATTTAACTGCTATGTGCCGTACTTGCCTTTGTATGCTTATTTGATGTCATATGATTTGTGTGAGTTATACTTTCAGTTTTATATTGTTGTGTGCTTTACCTACAAGTAGGTTTAAGCTAAAGAAACAAGTTATTTTTAAGAAGTAACTCATCTTCAAGAAGGTGAAGTCGTTTTAAGTGTTTTTAGTCACTAGCGCCAGTCCATTGCCTTTTGAGACATTTTGAGATAGAGCGGCAGTTATGCTCTTGAGACTTTTAAGATGAGCAGCAGTTATGCTCTTGAGAATCATGGTGAAGAGCCACCACGATAAGTTTAAGATGTTAGGGGGATGAATCGTTACGACTTCCCTAACTAAGTTTAAGTTTAAGGAAAGCCTGGATGGCTTCTCATACGTATGAGTTGGTAACCGGACTAGCTAGTGAGGGATCCCCGTGTCAGTCAAGTATTTAAGTCAAGATTTGAGCTTTAAGAGAGGAGAGTAACTTCAACTCCCTCAAAGTTAAGAGTTAAGATTTTAAGATTGGAAGTACAAACAACTTCCACTAGTCAAAGTTAAGTGTTTAAGTAAAGTACTCAAGTATTAGAATTATTAAAACGTAAGGACGTAGACTGACCCGATCTCACTCACCAGTTTGAAGAGCTAGAGGAATAGCTAGAGGAGCATTTAGTGAGCAGCGAATTCGAGGGCAGGAAGCTGGAGGAGGGGCAGTATAAGCGTCATAGAGGATGCTTAGTCAAGGTTTCAGTAGCAACAACATTAGTCGGGAATACCTTGCACTTAGATAGATAGATCTCACTAGCTAGCTCTAATGGATCTCATTAGTCGGTCATCATATCTTTATCATCATCAACCATTTATGTCCTTAAATTTTTAGGGGAGGGATGTTACATTGATAGTGGATAGGAACTCAAGGAGATCAAAAGGAGTTGGATATATAAATATTATACTCGTAAGTCTTATTATGCTCTTATAAGCTATCAACACGTTGCTTTCAAGAATCCATTTGAACTGTATTCTTAAATGCATTTGCAATGCGATAATGATGATGTATGATGGGAATACCTTGCACTCATGTTTAATCAATTTATAACGCATCCTCAAGGTAGATGACATACGCTTAAGTTTGTTTTCTTCTGCTTTTTATGCTTCCTTGATGAGTATATTTATGTGAAGACTATGAATTTCTCTTGTGGATTCTTGGTCCTTGTAGAAGCAATTCCATAAGAGCTTTCTCTACTTTCTGTTTGTCTCCATGCTAAGCTTTTGGTTTCTCGTTTGCCAAGAGAAAGTGAAATAGAAGTGGAACAAGAATAGCACTGAAACCTCCTTTTTGATCTGTCCATTTTAATCATATCTCTTGTGATTATAATGGTATCTAAACTTTTTTTCTGGTAAGGAACGTTTGCAACAGGAGCTCCTACACTCTATTCCTGCAGTTTCCTCAACACTAGTGTAACTGGGTATTATCTTTCTTTGTTTATGTCAGGTTGCAACTTTTTACTAGATGCTTTGAAAATCAGATTTGCTTGAAAGGCCTCTCTCTCACTTGCTGCTTAACTACTTTGGTGATTGCTTCTTATTAGATAGACTACTACTATCTGTTGTAGTGAACCTTCACTTCTCAGTGCAACAATAGTCTTCAACAGGACAGTGGACTTGAATTCTCCAGGAATTCGTTGCTGCACTGATCAAAGAGCAAGGTTTTATCGATGTATCTTCGATTTTAGATGTGTGTGTTGCAATTTTATCACATATTATTAAGGGGTTTTTTCAGCCCTGTATTAGTTTCTTGTATTTTCTGAACTTCTCTTGCATATTGAACATAGGAGTTGAGTCGGGGGATGGACACTTTCATACCTTTGTTTGATTACCAACGAAATAGCTTGTTGGTTCAAAAGCAATAAAGAGTATTGCATCTGGTATGGTAGGTTCCTTGTTATTAGCTGGAAGAACAGGGTAATGAAGTTAGAGTTGCCATCTGACATTGTTTCTAGACCTAGGTAATAGTTGATGATACTTATGCGCTACATGCAAGTTGCGGTCTCTCCTAGATTCCGGATGGCTGTGGCATGTATTACTCTAGTCTTCCAAGACTTTTAAGAGATTTGGATCGGTTAGTCATTTCTTGCTGCTGCTTTGTTTATGGTGAAATTGGTGGCTTGGTTTTAGGCAGAGAGGCATGCATGAGGATTTAATTATGGAGTGAGGAGCTAGGGTTCAATTTCAAATTGTCTATGTTTCAAATACACAGGATCTTATTTTAAGTTTCTTACTTTGTTTTGCCAGGATGAGAAAGACTTGAACATTTGGGAGTCGGAGAAATGTTGCAGCTACTCAAGAATGTCTTAAAGAAGGATACACAAAAAATTAGGATAACTTTAGTTGATTTGAGCAGACTGATTGGATATGCAATTAATTTCATTATGTTAGAATTTCATGCTATTATAATTAGTCTTTTCAATTATATGTTAATTAAGATGATCAATGCATGGTATTTGATTGTATTACTAATTATGTTAAGTTTTCATACTATAAGAGTTGGTCATTTAAATTGTATGTTAATATATGAAATTTTATGTATGATGGAAAAACATTGTGGTTAGTGATTGATAATTAGGCATAATAAAATATTGTGACCAATTGTTAGTATCTAGACACGGGAAAGCCAATCAAATACCATGACTAATGATTCACATCTAGTCACGGGAAAAGATTTTATCATGGTAAATACCGTGTTAAAAAGTGTATATCCCGTCTCTAAATGAGTTTTTTGTTGGTTTTGTGTGGCTACATTTGGTATAATCACGGTGCTCCCCGTGATTAATAGGTACAAATTAGCACTGTATATTATACCGTGACTAGTTATAACTAGTCATGGTACAATTTTCCCGTGACCTTTATAATTAGACACGGAGTTAAATATTACGGTAATTTTCCCGTGACTGAAACTTTTAAACACGGGAAACACACTTTCAAACACGGGATTTACCATGACTAAAGGATCTTTTTCCTGTAGTGAGTTGGCAACCGGACTAGCTAGTGAGGGATCCCCGTGTCAGTCAAGTATTTAAGTCAAGATTTCAGCTTTAAGAGAGGAGAGTAACTTCAACTCTCTCAAAGTTAAGAGTTAAGATTTTAAGATTGGAAGTACAAACAACTTCCACTAGTCAAAGTTAAGTGTTTAAGTAAAGTACTCAAGTATTAGAATTATTAAAACGTAAGGCCGTAGACTGACCCGATCTCACTCACCAGTTTGAAGAGCTAGAGGAATAGCTAGAGGAGCATTTAGTGAGCAGCGAATTCGAGGGCAGGCAGCTAGAGGAGGGCAGTATAAGCGTCATAGAGGATGCTTAGTCAAGGTTTCAGTAGCAACAACATTAGAGATTATTAGTTATTTACATTTATGATTATGAGTATAGACTGGAGATAAGATTGAGATATTAAAGTTTGAGTTTAATTTGCCCACGTGTTAGGGCTTTGCTCTGAGCTACAAGTGTGTGTTTTTAGTATTTTATTTATGAAAAATTTTCCCGCTGCAATTTAAGATTTGAGTATTTTATTTATCAAGGGCATTTTAGTAAAAGTAGTACCCGGGCGGGTTAGGGTGTTTCATTTTGGTACCAGAGCCGGTCTTCCTATGTTCCTTGGTCTCCAAGGAATACTATAATATCGGTCTCAGTTTTAAAGGCTTTTGTTTTAAAGGAAAGGAAAACGAGTCAAGGATCTTATTTTAAGAGTTTATAGAATCTCTAGTTTACTCTAATCATATTAAGGTGAATAATTATGACAGCACGACACGAAGGGATGGTAGCCCGGGGTGCGATTGTGTAAGAATAGGCTAGGACGTGATTTAGTTAACATGTCGTGGTTTGTCAAATGAGAGATTTAGGCATATGGTGATCGCCAGTAAGAAAGAAAGGATGAAAGAAACGTGACCAACCCAAGTAGAATCTCAAAGGCTCTCAAGACCAAGTATCTCATCGACATGATGGATAGTAGTTTTTCAATTAGTTAACCAACTACTCGGACGTTAGCAAACAGATCATCATGATGGATAGTAGTTTTTTCACCCAGAAATTTGTAAATCCAAATAGATCATGATGAACTCATTCCTTATGAGCAAACATTTTAAAAAACGTCTTAAAAATGAAGAAGTTACCATATGGCATGGAGTTGTTAACGAGAAGTACGAAAAATGTTTCTCAAAATATATTCAAAATTGATCTCATTTTGTAGAACACTACGAACTCGTTCCATTTGTGAATTTTTTTTTTGAAATCTGAGTTAGAACGAAGAAGATAAGGGCTGACCAACCACAACATGTTAACTAATTGGAGGTAAAAGCAATATATAACTCAATTTACGTGAATTGCTTCGTTCTGGTATCGCTTTGGATCAATTTCGACGGGGTAGAAGTGATTACAATGGAAATTCTTATGCCATTGAGATGGGACTCGCGGATTTTATTGCTTTCCAGTTGGGCAATGACATTATCTGACTATTAGTGCTGACTATTGTGCTAATTGACTGGTGGATGGATTAGATTTATGTTACTGTGTACTTTTTGTTGCCGCATTTAGCTATAATGAAATGAAGTGATGAGTATATATTTGATTGTGCTTGCCTTTTTTAATTGGGTTGGCCCTCCAAGGTTTTTGGGATTCTAACGGTTTTCTTTTTAGGGGTGATTCCACCATTTGCATCTACTCAAATATGATTTAAAATTATCATGAACTGAAGTCGCGCCTAGGGTTTGTGCTCCGTAATTCTAGGAGCGCCGTGAGTTATTGCTGCGCCTAGGGTTTCGACCTAAGCTCTTGCCGGCGGTGGCAATGCCGCTAGCCGGCGGGGGGCCTTCTGCCAACTCGCTAGAAAACCTGACTGGCCAACGCAGACCACCCTCGGCGTCTTCGTCCCCGAACCCCAAGGGGGATCGGGAGGCCCAGCAAAGCAAGAAAAGAGCCAAACAAACAGTTCAAGGTGTGCAGACTGAGAGTGACTCGGATGTCATACTGGAGGATGCGACGGTAACGGAAGATCAGCGCACACGGTCAGGTACCCCGCCACCGTCAGTCTGGACCGCGAGTACAGGAGCAGCTCGTCGACTATTCAGCGACCTCCTAAAGACTGACGAGTGGTACGTAGCAGACTCCGATTCGGAGGACGTCGCAGAAGCTATGCGACAAGATGGTATGGACGCAGGCGAGGAAGCCGATGATGATCCCCTGTGCCCTAATATCCCGTTCACAGCTGCTGAAGAGCGTGAATATTGCAGGAAGCTCCGTTAGGCCCTCCTCGTCAAAGTCTTGGGCCGATCATCGTCCTACACAGTGGTCTCGCGGAGACTGAATGCCATTTGGGCGAAGGCAGGGGCTATCCAGGTAGTGTCGGCAAAGAAGGGTTACTACATAGTGCGGTTCACGAGTGGGATAGACTACGAAAGGGCCGTTAAGGGTGGACCATGGTTGTTGGGTGATCACTACCTAACTGTTCATACATGGACCAAGCATTTAATTTAAACCCATACGAACACGAGATTTCCTCGACACTAGTATGGGCAAGGTTGCTGGTCATACCGGCTCAGTACTTCAATACTGATGCTGTGATGAAGATCGGGAAGCGAATTGGGAGACCCTTGCGGGTTGATCAAGCCACGAGCACAGGCGCCCGCCTAGACTATGCGCGTGTCTGTGTCGAGGTCGACCTCGCCAAACCACTCTTGTCCCAATTTAGGATCCATGGCGTAAAATATTTCATTCAATACGAGGGGCTAGAGAAGATCTGCCTAAATTGTGGCAAATACTTCGAGCGGTCTGGTTGCCCTTGCTCCTTTGGCGGGCAAAGCAAACAGGACGAGGAACCTAACGTCTCGGATACTGTCAAGGAGCCGAACCCATAACCAGAGAAATTTTACGGGGAGTGGATGATTGCGAAGAAGAAACCACGTGGCCCTAGACAAGAGACTGCAACGAAAACAACCACGCCAAACAAGAACCTAGGGGACATTGCAGCCAAGTCGGGATCGCGGTTCAACGTTCTCGAAGTTGAAGACGTAATGGAGGAGGAAAATGATCAGCCACAAGGAACTACCCAGGTTAGTACACCGAACGCGACTCAAGGCGGGGACAGGGCTGGAGCCACAAAGCTACAAGGAAAATCGAAACAGACATCCACAACGAGCAAAGGCACGAAAGAGGCGGGCAATGGCAAATCGAAGGCACCTATAAACCCTGCGAAGATCCCGTTGAACGATGGAGATGGTAAACAAGGGGAAGCTCAACCGGGTAGCGTGTCTCACTCAGTAAGCGAGCATCAGCAGGCCTACCCCGCACACCAGCAGGATGCGGTCCACATGGATACGGGGGAAGGAGCACGGAGCCCGCAAGCTCAACACCCTCATTTCCACCTTGATGCGAATAACAAAACCCTCAATGCAGCAGCTTCGGGTCGGCCACCGAATACCGCCATTGATGGAACCTCGAACCCGGGAGAAGTACCCGATCCAACAATGAACCCGGCGTCCGCAAGGACCAGCGATGGCAGCGGCCATCAGTGATCTTTCATGGAGTACCTCTCACCTTACTTTTTCCATGGATTGTAGTATTTTCTCTTGGAATTGTAGAGGTGCCGGTAGCAGGAGCTTTCTCCGTACTTTTTTAGAATACAAACGTCGGTTTCGGCCTAAAATTGTGATTATTGTGGAACCTCGAATCAGCGGAGTCACTGCTGAGGAGGTGATCCGTGACATGGGTTATGATAAGAAGTTCGTTGTGGACGCCGTGGGTTTCTCGGGGGGTATCTGGATCCTCTGGAATTCTGCGGAGTTCCACCTGACTAGGATATACTCTCATGCTCAATTTCTTCATGTGCAGGTCCAATAGGCTAATGGCATGGGCGTTACGTGGCTACTCACAACAATCTACGGTAGCCCAACGCCCATGCAGAGACGTGAGCTATGGACCGCTGTCGCAGGTTGGCTGAAGATGAGGAGCGCCCCTGGCTTCTTCGCGGAGATTTCAACTCCATCCTCCTCCCTTCAGAGAAGCTGGGGGGTGCCCCGTTCGACGCGGCTAGGGTCAGAGACTTTCAAGATTGTGTCAATGATGCGGGCATTGTTCATCTGGGGTTTACCGGGCCAGCTTACACTTGGTTTCGGTCGAGGGTTCGCGAACGGCTAGACAGAGGTTTGAGTAATAACAGCTGGGTAACGATGTTCCCGGAGACGTCAGTTAAGCATCTTCCTAGGCTAAAATCGGATCACATACCGATCCTGTTGTCTCTGATGAATTCAGCCACTCCGGGAGGACCTAAACCATTTCGATTCCTCGCCGCATGGCTTACCCACGAGGATTTTAAAAGAATGGCGAACGCTGCATGGGGACGTGGAGCTACATTCGCAGAATCAGCTGCAGCCTTCGCTCATGACGCTCAGCACTGGAATAGATTTACCTTCGGCCATATCCAGAGGCGGAAAGATGCCCTCCTGAACCGCATTGAAAGGCTGGAAGTCCGTGACACGGGTGTGGAGATATCAGCCGCCCTCGAGACGGCCCGGGAGGAACTGGAGACGGTTCTTTTTCAGGAAGAGGTTTTATGGTGCCAAAAGTCCCGCCAGGACTGGATTAGATGGGGTGATCAGAACACCAAGTTCTTTCATACCAGTACGCTGATAAGAAGGAAGAAGAACCGGATCATGGCGTTGAAGGGGGCTGATGGTATTTGGATAGAAATTGCGGAAGAACTCCAGGCGCTCGCTTGTAGCAATTTTGAGACTTTGTACACTGATGAGGGAGGGAATATCGTAGCTCTTGGCCATGCTTTCCCGTTGGTCGATGATGGTACATGGACTCGTGTGTCGGCACCTCCAAATCAAGAGGAGGTTCGGAATGCCATCAGAAGCATGGGACCACTGAAGGCCCCCGGCACCGACGGTTTGAGCCAGATCTTTTTCCAGCAGTGTTGGGATGTTGTGGGCGAGTCTCTTACACAGCTTGTCCAATCCTGCTGGGGAGACAGCGAGCAGGTGAGCGGCTTTAACACTACTATCCTCGTCTTGATCCCCAAAGTTCAGGCGCCGGTGCATATTGAACAATTTAGACCGATAAGCCTATGCAACGTGGCCTACAAGACCTTGACCAAGTGTATAGCTGAGAGACTTAAGCCGCTAATGCCCTCCCTAGTACATGAAACTCAAACAAGCTTTGTACCAGGGAGGCATATAAAGGATAATATTTGCATTCTCCAGGAGGTCGTTCACTCGATGAGAGCTAAACAGGGACGCAAGGGGTGGATGGTTGTGAAAGTTGATTTAGCGAAAGCTTACGATCGCATTCGTTGGAGCTTCGTTCAGGATACTCTCCAGGCCATAGGAGCACCAGATGAGGTGGTTAGGCTGATCATGACGTGTATTTCCACGGCTACGATGCAGGTTCAATGGAATGGCGGGCTTTCGGAACAGTTCACCCCCTCCCGGGGTCTCTGACAGGGCTGTCCCTTGTCACCCTACATCTTCACTCTTTGCATGGAGCGTTTGGGTCACATCATTACAGACTCGGTGAGGCAAGGTCATTGGCGGCCCATTAAAATAGCGAGCTCGGCCCCAGCGCTTTCTCATATCTTCTTCGCCGACGACCAACACATTGCCCAACTTTTAAGCACTACCTCCGACACTCACATTAAATTTAGCAGAAATAGCAGAGAATATGGAAAACCACTCTGTGGAACCTTCTAAAAGATGTAAAAGGGTGATTTTTCATTATAGACCAAAAGAAAGGATAACACACGGCTCAAGGGGGCTGACTAGGGGATATGACACATCAGGACAGTCAATTTGGTCGTGGGCTAATCCTATGCCCCCATCATCTTAGCTAGTGACAACGTGAATGCTACACATCATGGAAGAGGGATCTATCGCACAAGAAAGAAACGAGCAGGCTCAAATCGCACATGGCTACCTATATGTTCTATCTCACATTCTAATTCCATGAACTAGATGCATAAACGACTGTCAAGAACAAGTGATCAAATCAAGTCACAGCTGGTAAGCAAACAGTTGAAAGAACTGAACCCCTACACAATTCTACTGCACGTCTCAGTCCTCATCATAGGTTGTCCTAGTCACAATCAAGCTGTCATGCATCAATCCGAAAACCATTCAATTCACCAATCACAACACAGTGCCAATATGATCAACCAACAGTACTTGGAGCCCTCAAATCGTAAGATTCGGACAGTGGACTAGGCTCCAAGCACACAAATATATATTCCAACCGATACAAAGCACCCCCCACACTTAAGCACGACATTGCCCTCAATGGAGTAGAGGTAGAGATAAGGGGAACGATGTTACCGGATTGAAACACTGCTGGGGGACGGGAAGTGGACCAGTCAGCGAGAAACAAACGGGAAGATGGACAGTTCTGCACGAATCGAACACCAAGAACACACTAGCACACTGTGCGTTAGGGATAAGTGTTAGCCCAGACGGCTACAACATAAACAAACCACAAAAGAAAAGCAAAAACAAAAAACAAACGACACTAAGTTCAAGCTCCTCACACATGGAGCAAACACACAAAAGTCTAAAACGAAAAACACACTGAGATGGGCAACGAGTACAGCCTACTCGTCGCCAAGATCATCCAGGTCGATGTCGTCCATGAAGGCGTCATCACCATCAGCACCATCGTCACCATCCGCTGGGGGAGGTGGAAGTGGAGAGTCCTCCCAGCGAGTCCTCCAGACGGGCTGCTCGCCTGGTAACAGCTGGAGTAAATGCTGCTGGACCTACTGCATGCGCCGTGAACGGAGAGTTGCTCGTAGCAGTGCAATTTCTGAAACTCCCGTTTGACCAGCAATGGTGCTGCCCAAACGAGCATGCCAGGACCTGCTTGAAGCGATTCTCGTCGGGGCCCCTCTTCAGATCCCGGATGAATGGCTGCTTGAGGTCAGGTTTCGACATTGTCCTGCAAAAGAACAACCCAAAGTGGAACCAAAAGAGCCAAAGAAAAGGTCAATTACACCCCCACACTTAAGAACAGAAAACAGCCTAACCATGGTTTCATCCATAGTTCGGGGGTCAAAAACTTGATAAATCAAGCATAATCTAGTGGGGGTGCACATTCACGATAAAGTAGGCAACTTAAGGTTCACATCCATAGCAAATACACCCTCAAAGCACATCATTAAGGGCCACAACCGGTGCCCACAACATGGCATGAAACAGGCATTTCATCGAACACCTTGTGTGCACTATGAAGGTAAGCATGAAATTGGCAAAATTCTTGCACACAAGGGCTCAAACAATCAAGGGGGACATTTCCCAACACAATTCAAACACACTCCATGCATTCCCCTCAATCAATTGCACAAAAATCATAAGATTCAAAGAGGTTCTCTAAACAAACACCCTAACACCCAATTCTCCAAAATTAACATAGTTCAGGGCAAAATCAAACCTGGAGACTCAAGTAGAGGTGTAGTGGATGATGAGGGGAAGGCGATGGAAGCGACGAAAAGCCGATAAAGTGCCCGGAAGTGCTCGTCAGAGTCTCGCCGGAAATCGCCTCCGGCGACTCAAAGTCGAGCCAAATCACCTCAAAAACGAGGGATAGGCCGAATATGGTGTGGGAAGGTTGGGTGTGGTGTTGGATTTGGGAAAAAATGACCAAAAATCGCCTTGGAGGGTAAAAAGGCGCGGTTTTCCGGCGAGGGGGAGAGGTTTCCGGCGAGCAAAAGTGGATTTTCTGACCACTCGGCCGTGTTGGTCGAATTTATAGGCCGTGGCTCGGCCACACGGGCAGGCTCGCACGGCCGTGCACGGCGCAGGTTTGCTCGTGTTGGCCGCAAGGCCAGGCCGATGAATTCCACACGGCCGTGCGAATAGATGAGTTGCCCGTG